CTAAGGGAGTTTACTCTCGTAGCACTACGAATCCCCAGAGTGACGGACCGAATAATGAGCAAGTACTTCCTAAAGCAGTTCACCGAGTTTGACAAGGATAAGATCTTGTCCGCCTACCAGCAGACAGCAAAGTTCCTGAACACTAGAGACGTAGATTTCAGCACTATAACGGATATTGCAGAGAAGATGGTGGTGACTGACTCGTTGGCCCTGCTAAAAGAAGGAGAGATCATAGATTTGACAGGCAAGGTTGAAGATAAAGTGAAGAAAGGAATCGAAAGCCTGCATGAGCGGGTCCACGGGGTTGACGGCAAGATAGAGAGAGTAGAGAATGCCTTACTGGTGATGCAAGCCCAAGTCTCGCAAACGCAAGCAGTACGACCCCCCCTCCCGCCACAAGAGGCAATCGTACCCCCCCGGATAGCCAACCGCGGTAATAATCGAAAGGACCCGGCCAATGAGCAGTGCAAGTACTGCACGATAGTCGGGCATTTTGTCCGCATGTGTCCCAGGCTTAACCACGATATCATTCTTAAACAGTGCTTTAGAACTTTGTGCGGGGAAATCCTGGGGCCACGAGGAGAGAGGGTAAACTGGAACTCGCCGGGAGGGATGCGCAGAGCAGTAATCGCACTCAACAACCTGGATGCAGCCGCGGTTGAGGCCGAACCAGTAGAGGAACTTACCTGGGGACAGGCACCCGGGCGAGGGCACCAGGTCAACTTCATCACCGAGAGTGATGACCGCGACGGGGTTAATGTGACCACCAGACAACGGGGTGCTACAAAGAAGGTAATTCAGGACGCGGTCATGGAAGACGTGCAGGAAGGGTCGAATCCGCCAGCAGAATCGGACCAGGACAAAGTTTACGGCAAGCCTAGGGAGGAGGCGCCCGTAGACAAAGTAACATCCGCAAAGAAGAAATTCAGGTACCAGATCCCTATCCTTGTCGATCCTGAGATAGACCACACTCTTAGCCAGTTGCTAGGGACCATGGTATCGGTTTCCTTCCATACCATGTTGCAGGTTAGTCCTAGACTACTAAAGGGCCTAAGACAGCTGCTAACAAGGCAAAGGGTGGAAGTAGCGGAGGAACCGGATGTACGCGAAGAAGGCAAGGAAGAGGAGCCACCGCGGGAAGTGGCAAACCTTCAGAGGGCCCCCGGGGATCTGGAAGATCTAGAGAAGGCCTTCGCAGACATCCGGCTAAGTCTGCCAGACCGGGAAGGCGGAGAAGTCATGAGGGCACCGCCTGGCACGAAACTGAGTTTCCATGCGCTACCGGTAGGGAAACTGAAAGTCCAGATTGGCATCCACCACATGGATGCACTGGTAGATGGCAGGGCAGAAATCACACTCATTTGCAAGGACTTTGCAACAATTGCTGGGTGCCCAATCAATTGGGAGGTCACGGGGAGTGTCCGGGGAGCAGGTGGGGAAATCCCCTTTTCCGGCTATGTTACCAAGTGCGCAGTTAAAGCCGGGGTTAGAGAGTCTATATGGTCGTTCCAACGAATGACCGTCATGGACGAAATGGACCATGACGTGATCCTCGGGCGCCCGTGGTGTGCGAACGTACAAATGATCGGGATGCATCTGCACGACGGCGCCTACATGGTAGACATAGAGGACCCGGTGACAGGACGAGGCGAGCTGCTTCGCCTTATGGGAACC